TAGCCAGGATAGTCTCGATCTCCTGACCTCGTGATCCACCCGCCTCGGCCTCCCAAAGTGCTGGGATTACAGGCTTGAGCCACCGCGCCCGGCCTGGCCTAACTTAATTTCTTAAACATTTGGTAGTTCTTGGTACTGCCACTCATAGGACATCATTATAATGCTAAATAATGCTCTCGTAAAGTGCGTACCCAGGGATCTTGGGAGACCTCTTGGGTGTGGGGTAGAGAAAGTTGAGGTGCCCTAGGAGAACAGGCATCTCTCTGTACCCACAGGCTACTGCTACTATAAGCTCCAGGCTGACTTCTCCTCAGACCACCTGGGCTGTTTCACCAAGTGCCGGAAGCCATGCAGGTTAGTGTCCCCTTCCCCGGGTGCAGGTTGGGTAGAATACAGGTTACCCAGCCAAGCCTTCGAGTGGGAGAGCTCTGCCCCAACACTGAACACCTTTCTCCATCCCCAGTGTGACCAGCTACCAGCTCTCGGCTGGTTACTCACGATGGCCCTCGGTGACATCCCAGGTAGGGTGTGGGGAAGCGACGGGTGGGGGATGTGTATGCCCGTGTAATGCTGTGGCCTTCTCTGGGTATTTTGTGTATGAGTGTGTTTGACACAACCTATCCCTGTAAGCCTGAAGCGTATGGACCTTGATGACAGCCCCATTCTTTCCTAGGAATGGGTCTTCGAGATGCTATTGCGACAGAACAACTACACCATCAACAACAAGAGGTGAGTCCTGCCCTGGTCCCGGCCACAAGAAAGGAATCTTTGGGAGGGAAAATAGACCTAGGAAGAGGGATTGATATGGTTGATTAGAGGAAGGTCCAGGAAGTTCATCCTCTACCATTTCTTCCCACCCTCTGCCCCACACCTAAGAAATGGAGTGGCCAAAGTCAACATCTTCTTCAAGGAGCTGAACTACAAAACCAATTCTGAGTCTCCCTCTGTCACGGTAGGTCGTGCCTGGATGGAGCCTGTGATGTTCTGAGGGTCTTACTTAGCAGGGCAGCTGTCAGGGAAAACCAAAAGGTTGTCTGTGGGCCAGAAGGCTCTGGGTCTCAAAGGCGGGGGACCAAAGAAGAGGGTCAAGGGAGAGGTCAGGCAGGTTGGAAGAAGAAGCTCGGCCGGGGCATAAGGTCTCTGGGGGTGGTGGGAGGGACAGGCATGCTAGATGCTGAGGTGAAGGCGCTTGAGCCATGCCCCCATTTCAGCTGCCCCTGACTGTGGGCCAGTTGCCAGTTTTCTCTGGGTGACGCTGGCCAGGAGCAGAGACAAGGAGCCCAGGGGGCTGCTGAGAGGCCGACAGGACTCAGGGGTCCTCGGGGATGAAGGGAGACAGCTTGGTGAGGAGGAATGGGGGCTCCTCTGCCAGAGTCCATCCAGAACCCTCTGTCCCATCGTCAATGTACCTCTTCTCTCACAGATGGTCACCCTCCTGTCCAACCTGGGCAGCCAGTGGAGCCTGTGGTTCGGCTCCTCAGTGCTGTCTGTGGTGGAGATGGCTGAGCTCATCTTTGACCTGCTGGTCATCACATTCCTCCTGCTTCTCCGAAGGTTCCGAAGCCGATACTGGTCTCCAGGCCGAGGGGACAGGGGTGCTCAGGAGGTGGCCTCCACCCAGGCATCCTCCCCGCCTTCCCACTTCTGCCCCCACCCCACATCTCTGTACTTGTCCCAGCTAGGCCCTGCTCCCTCCCCAGCCTTGACAGCCCCTCCCCCTGCCTATGCCACCCTGGGCCCCTGCCCATCTCCAGGGGGCTCCGCAGGGGCCAGCTCCACTGCCTATCCTCTGGGGGGGCCCTGAGAGAGAAGGAGAGGTTCCTCGCACCAAGGCAGATGCTCCCCTGGTGGGAGGGTGCTGCCCTTGGCAAGATTGAAGGATGTGCAGGGCTTCCTCTCAGAGCCGCCCAAACTGCCTTTGATGTGTGGAGGGGAAGCGAGATGGGTAAGGGGCTCAGGAAGTTGTTCCAAGAACAGTGGCCAATGAAGCTGTCCAGAAGTGCCTTGGCTCCGGCTCTGTACCCCTTGGTACTGCCTCTGAACACTCTGGTTTCCCCACCCAACTGCAGCTAAGTCTCCTTTTCCCTTGGATCAGCCAAGCCAAACTTGGAGCTTTGACAAGGAACTTTCCTAAGAAATGGCTGATGACCAGGACAAAACACAACCAAGGGTACACACAGGCATGCACGGGTTTCCTGCCTGGCGACAGCTGAAGCCAGCCCCTGACTGACCTGGCCACACTGCTCTCCAGTAACACAGATGTCTGCTCCTCATCTTGAACTTGGGTGGGAAACCCCACCCAAAAGCCCCCTTTATTACTTAGGCAATTCCCCTTCCCTGACTCCCGAGAGCCAGGGCCGGAGCAGACCCATGTAAGTAAAGGCAGCTCCAGGGCTCCTCTAGGCTCATACCCGTGCCCTCACAGAGCCATGCTCCAGCGCTTCTGTCCTGTGTCTTTTGTCCCTCTACATGTCTGCTCAAGATATTTCCTCAGCCTGAAAGCTTCCCCAGCCATCTGCCGGAGAACTCCTATGCATCCCTCAGAACCCTGCTCAGACACCATTACTTTTGTGAAGGCCTCTGCCACATCTTGTCGTCCCAAAAATTGATCACTCCCCTTTCTCCTGGGCTCCCGTAGCACACTATAACATCTGCTGGCGTGTTGCTGTTGCACCATACTTTCTTGTACGTTTGTGTCTGCCTCCCCAACTGGACTGTGAGGGCCTTGTGGCCAGGGACTGAGTCTTGCCCGTTTATGTATGCTTCGTGTCTAGCCCATCATCCTGCTTGAAGCAAGTAGGCAGATGCTCAATAAATGTTTGTTGCATAAAGGAATGTCTGGAGAGCTGGATGGGGCATCTTGAAGGGGGTAGGGAGTGGATACAAGTCACCACCCAAGCTTCTGGGTGGTCATGGGGCTGGGGGAGGGTACACACTCCCATGGCCCTTGATTGCACCACGGAAGTGATCGTTCTTCACAGGGTCTTAAGAGGGGCAAACGGTCTGGTGAATTCCTCCATGGTCATTGCTGAGCATCTGCTGTGTGCCTATGGGCGTTGCTGAGTGTCTGCTGTGTGCCCATGAGCGTCTTCCATGTTAGGGTGGAAGGGGGAAGACATGGTGCCGTCCCTTCAGGGGACCTACCTCACAGTGTTTGGGGAGACTTGCCCTCTCCAGTGTCTGAACCTCCTTTTCCTTCTCTCCTTTAGTCACCATCATCACTAACCTCCCCACCCCCGCCACCGCATTTGCTGAGTCCCACTTACCACCTGGAGGCAATGAACCGTCATCTGCCTGCCTCCCATCAGCTGCCTGGTGGTGGTGGAGGATGACGAGGCTCAGGCCAGTTTCTCCCGGAAATGCAAAGCCTTATGTGGTCTTATTGGTACATGATTGCAGAGAGGGGCACAAGGAATCCTCCCAGCTTTCGTAAAGGAGAGACTGAGCTCCAGGGAGGGGCTGAAGGATGTGCGAGTGGAATTCCAGCTCTCTGACCCTGGCTTCTCCCCCACGCCAGCATAAGACCTGGAATCCGGAAGTGACCCTTTCTCACCATCTTTGGGGATTCTGTCCCTGCCACCTTAGTCTCATTCATCTTAATTGCAGCCCTCCTGTTCTGAGGAGCCAAAGGGGGAAGACCTCGGGGAAGGAGGAGAAGGAGCTGGTGACGGGGATAGGAAGATAGACAGGGTCATGACCTAATACGGTGTGGCGACTGCTGACTTCCCTTTCCTAGACTTGAGCTGATGAAGGGGAAATGGTGTTGCTTCAGCATTCTCCTCCGTCAGAGCCCTCAGGTGCAGACTGCCCTTGTCTGCCCTCTCAGCCTCAGCCTCGGCCCGCCTGGGCCCCAGCGCCCTCTCCTCTGGCTGGGGCGGGAGGACCTGCCAGACACAGCCAGATGTATTACGGATGACTGTAGTCAGCTCCCCCAGACTCCTGCTTCTCTTGCCTCCTGCTTTTTTTTTCCCAGAGCTGTCTCCTTATCTCCATTCACTTGTCTATGGGTTACTCCTGGACCCTGGGGTTAGGAGTTGGAATCAAGCTGTTAGCGATAAAAGGGTTCAAGTTGACTCATTTTCCTTATCAGGCTTAGTAGTTGAAGTGACTTGCTGAACTTCATAATTCTTACAGAACTAACCATGAAGCCAGCCCCCTTTCTATGACTCACCCTGCCACCCTGTGACACATGGAGTCTGAATGGCAGGTCTGGGGCTAGAACCCACGTCACCTGGACTTGGAGTTCAGTGACCCTTTGGGTTAGGCATGTGCCTCTGTGTGTGTGTGTGTGTGTGTGTGTGTGTGTGTGTGTGCACGTGCACGCACCTATGTGTGTGGCATGGGGGAGGAAGGTCACTGCTCTCTGTAGCTGTTTTCTTCATCCTTTGCTCTACAAACCCAAACAGCCAATTCTGCCATCCCCAGTCTGCCCCTTTCCTGTTTCTCCATCTCCTCTGACCATGATTTTTTTCTATCCCTGGAGGGATGATGGTCTCATTCTCACCTCCTCCACAAAACGTGCTGGCTTTTCATATTCCTAGATCCACCCACTTCTCACCATCTTTTCTTTTTTTCTAAACAAAATTTTATTGAAAAATTTAATACAACATATGTCAAAGTTGTAAAGTCATTGAGTAAATAAGCATTTATCCTAAATATTGAACAATATTCTCCTTTTGTGGCAGGCTATGTGTCATGGCTTTGGCACTTTGTACAGACTATTAGAAATACCTTTTAATATTAAAAATAGGACATTGAGGCCGGGCGCGGATCCCAGCACTTTGGGAGGTTGAGGTGGGTGTTACCTGAAGTTAGGAGTTCAAGACTAGCCTAGCTAACATGGAGAAACCCCGTCTCTCCTAAATACAAAATATTAGCCGGGCGTGATGGCACATGCCTATAATCCCAGCTACTTGGGAGGCTGAGGCAGGAGAATTGCTTGAACCTGGGAGCTGGAGGTTGTAGTGAGCCAAGATTGCGCCACTGCACTTGGGCCTGGGCAACAAGAGCGAAACTCTATCAGAAAAAAAAGGCCGGGTGCAGTGGCTCACACCTGTAATCTCAGCACTTTGGGAAGTGGAGGCAGGTGGATCACAAGGTCAGGAGATCGAGACCATCCTGGCTAACATGGTGAAACCCCGTCTCTACTAAAAATACAAAGAAAACTTAGCCGCGCTGGGCACGGTGACTCAAGCCCATAATCCCAGCACTTTGGGAGGTCGAGGTGGGCGGATCACGAGGTCAGGAGATCAAGACCATCCTGGCTAACACGGTGAAACCCCGTCTCTACTAAAAATACAAAAAATTAGCCAGGGGACGTGGCAGGTGCCTGTAGTCCCAGCTACTCGGGAGGCTGACTGTCTCTTATACACATCTAGATGTGTATAAGAGACAGCCACACCACTGCACTTGGGCCTGGGCAACAAGAGTGACACTCTGTCAGAAAGAAAGAAAGAAAGAAAAGGAAGGAAGGAAGGAAGGAAAGCTGTCTCTTATACACATCTAGATGTGTATAAGAGACATAATCCCAGCTACTTGGGAGGCTGAGGCAGGAGAATTGCTTGAACCTGGGAGCTGGAGGTTGTAGTGAGCCAAGATTGCGCCACTGCACTTGGGCCTGGGCAACAAGAGCGAAACTCTATCTCAAAAAAAAAAAAAATAGGACGTTGAAGTTGGTTTCTTTTTTTGATACAGAGTCTCGCTCTGCCGGCCAGGCTGGAGTAAAGTGGCAGGATCTTGGCTCACTGCAACCTCTGCCTCCCGGGTTCAAGGAATTCTCCTGCCTCAGCCTCATGAGTAGCTGGGATTACAGGCACGGGCCACCATGCCTGGCTAATTTTTGCATTTTTAGTAGACACAGGGTTTCACCATGTTGGTCAGGTTGGTCTCGAACTCCTGACCTTGTGATTCGCCCGCCTCAACCTCCCAAAGTGCTGGGATTACAGGCATGAGCCACTGCGCTCTGCCTTTTTTTTTTTTTTTTTTGCCGCCCTCTCCCATACCACACTCCCCTGTATCACTTATCCTTCTGAAGTTGTTATTAATCATTAATACAACTAGCTGGGCATAGTGGTGTGCGATGGTAGTCTTAGCCACTCGGAAGGCTGAGGTGGGAGGCTAACTTGAGGCCAGGAGTTCTAGGTTAGGTGAGCTACGATTGTACCATTTGCACTTTAGCCTGGGTGACAGAGCAAGCTCCTGTTTCAAAAATAATAATAATAATTGCTACCACTTATTAAATGCTTAATATAAGGCAAACACTTGCTAAACACTTTATATGCTTGATTTAAGCATCAAGCCAGTTCTGTGAAGGGTACCAGCAAGTTTCCCATTTTTTAGATGAGCAGACTGAGGTTCTTCTCACTGCTTCATACTGGAAACTTGCACTTGATTCTAAGGCCCCTGCTTCTTCAAGAACTCCACTTTGGGTTTGCTTCTACTGTCCCCGGGGTCTACCTTTGTGATGATGGTGAGCTGCTTCCTTTCTGAATCCACTTTCAACCCTACAGTTCTCCAGAAGCTGGATGATGGGACGGAGTAAAGTCAGCTCCCCCAGCAGTGAGGGACACGGAAGCTCCATTCTCATCTACGGATCACAGAGGGGAAGCCAGGAAGAGCCAGGGGACGGTGGACTTGGGGCTGGGAGGTCATTTAAGAGGGAGAAGGGGTGAGAAGCTCTGATTTCAAGTTCCAAAGCCCTAGGGCCTCCCTCTTCTCTGTCTCCCTGCATTTCTAGCTGCCTCAGCAGCTGAAGGCCCTTGGGCGGGTGTAGGAAAGGTCATTGTACCAAGAAGATAGTTGGGTAAATGCTGTACCTTTGTTGTAGGATTCTCTTGGGAGATGTCTGCATCAATGGGGATGGCATAAAGTAGCCAGAGTCAGGATGTGGGGTCTGACTCAGTGACAGAAAAAGTGGCAGTGTGTCTCTCATAGCCAAAACAGCCCTTGGACCGGGAGTCAGGAGTCTGGGGTTCTCGGTTGGCTCTGCCTCCTGGCACACTGGGTTTCTGGACCTCAGTTTTCTCCTCTATAAAACCAGGGGGTTGGCCGGGCATGGTGGCTCACACCTGTAATCCTAGATCTTTGGGAGGCTGAGGTGGGCAGATCGCTTGGGCCCAGGAGTTCAAGACCAGTCTGTGTAACATGGCGAGACCCTGTCTCTACAAAAAGTACAAAAATTACCCGGGCATGGTGGTATGCACCTATAGTCCCAGCTACTTGGGAGGCTGAGGTGGGAGAATTACTTGAGCCTGGGAGGTCGAGGCTGCAGTGAGCTGTGATGGTACCACTGCACTCCAGCTTGGGAAACAGAGCGGACCCTCGAAACAAACACAAAAATGAAAAACAAGCAAATGAAGAAATAAAAAAAACCTAGGGGGTTGTAGTAGATGATCTCTAAGGTTAGTTATAATTGAGGTATTGGAATATTTAGGAAAGAGCACTGGGAATATACTAGGAACACCTGATGGAGATATCTTTATTTCCACGGCAGCTTCGTGGATATGTCTCATTGATGCTCATGGTATCACTCTTCCCATGTAGGTGGGCAGGCATTGTTACCCCTATTTAATAAATGAGGAACCAACAGAGGCTTAGGAGAGGAGTTGCCTGATGTCCCATGATAGGTGGCAGAGCCAGGATCAACAGTGGGGCAGGGTGGGGGGACCTGGCCAGGCAGCGACTGGATGAGACCTGGGGTGAGAAGTGGCAGGGACCCAGTCAGGGCAGAAAATGAGGGTTAGGACTTACTTTGAGGTTTGGATTGGATCGGTAAATTCCCAAGAAAGAGGGAGACTAGGAGGCTAGTGAAGAATTGTGGAGTAAAGGGGAGGATT